TTAATTTCGTCAAAAACAACCACTTCCTTCATGGTGCTTCGATTTTTTCCAAAAGAGTGTAAATATTGACAGCTATTTTTGAATATATCAATCAGTTAGACATCTTATTGCATTAAGATGGCTGTCTAAGGTGAGATTGACATTTGTTGATTTTGCCGTATCATTAATATAAATGTTAAACATCAGAGGTCTAGCAGAGAGCTCTGGGATATCACAGCATATATTGGATGGGATAGAGAAATTCAGTTTTCAGAGTTTGTATGATACTTAAAAGTTCTTTATTTCCGCCTAATTTGGCAAAAGGTCCTTAATTTTACTTATCTAACATTTCTGTTTTTACGACGGCCATTTTTAGTGTGAATTAATATTTTGGAAGATCATTTTTTGATTTCTTGACAAATAAGTATTAGATGGGTTATCATTTGAATTTTTTCCTACTTCTTAACAGGGAATGAGGCCCTACTTTTATTGAAATATTAACATTTTAAAATTCTTTTTGAGAATGATAAAATACTACATAAAAAACATTCCTTCTCCTTTTTTATTATGTGCTAAATTTGGTGATTTATCGACATTTTGACGATTTCAAGATCAATTTGTATACAAAATTTTTTATCAGGATATTTCCGAATTTTCGACGATATTTTTATAAACAATAAAATTGGTAAATAGCATTAAAATATAAAAATTTAATTTTCCCAGGTCATATTTTATAATGAATGATATTGCTTTCCACTTTGGTGACTTACTTTGATTCTGAGAAATAAATAAGAGCTATGAAACACAGTTTCCAAAATTTCTTAGCAAAAGCAAAAAAGCTACTTCAGTTATTTTAAAATTAATGTCTTTTCTCCCTCTTTCATATATTTTCATTAGTTTTTTCCCCTCGTAGTTATTTCAAAATATTCAAATGTGTATCAGTTTTTTCGTAAAAAATTCCTTTTAAATTTTTCTTTCCTGAATTTCTTATTAAAAAAAAAAAAATCTTCTGGTTTTTTGCTCTTACAGACCTGACAGGAATAAATTTAGACCTTGCACGTTGGAAGGTTTAAAAGGATTTGAAAGCAAGATAACAAAAAAATTTGACCAAATAAAAGATGTTTCCATGGTATTAATACATAATGAATATGTGTTTATAGGAAGCATTTGATGAATTTCATGTTTTATGGAACATTTTTGGAAGAACAGTGAACAGAAAGTTATTTGAATTTTCTGCTTTTGATCTCCTCTTAACTTGCCTTTATGTTTTCATCTTTTCGTTGACACAAACATGGAAAATTGCAAAAATAGTGTTGTTGTGACTTATCTCACTTATCTGACAGTAACATCAGAACAAGCCCACAAAATTTGTGTCAAGAAGTGAGAAATTGTGCCTGCCGTTAGCATGAGCCTTGAGCACTATACAGGTCATGGTACAACTTTGTTCAGTTTCATCTCAATTTTGAAGGAGACTATCCTTGGGGAGCGACAGGTCCGAGGGTCTCCCACTCTTCTTCCCCTACCACCAACCCTCTCGACAGAACTTCTAACTTGCCACATATTTAAAGCGTCCCCATGCCGCACAGACAGTATACATTTACAAACATCCATGCCCTCTCCAGGATTTGAACCCAGGTCCTTCAGTGCAGCAGTCAGAGTTGCTAACCACTCTCCTGGTCGGACGGTGCAAAAGTAGTTCTAATCTTGTCACATGGACAGGTATCTGGAGAAAGGAATTTTCCTATTAAGAAAGAAGTTGAACAGTGATACTTTAAAAGATTGATCTTCTATGTCTCTTGCGATGCACACATGTATTTTGCCACCTGTTGCAATCTCTATAGGTCATAAATTCTAAAACTTGCCTTATATCATTATTGACCTTATATCATTTCATATTTATTCCCAACACTTGTATTATTAAAGAAATAAAATTAGTATCTTCTATAGATTCTAAATACATCAATTCTTTAGAATAACAAAAATCTTCAATTTAATCTGAAATTCTAAAATGTAGAGGAAACTTATTAACTCTTTGACACACACACGATATTATTTTTATATTTTTTTAAACTGTAAACTCTAAAAATTGAATATTATGATCCTAGAAACAAATATATGAATTTAAAAAAAATCTATTCTTGTCCATTGTTCTGTGGGTGGTAGTCGCACTGTGAAGCCACCGCGCATCTAGAACCTCGAAACTTACTGAGGTAGTAGGGAGGAAAAAACATATCTTTTCTGTGCACATTTCCAATAAATGAAATTTGCGAATTTTAAAAATATGTATGTAAGAACTGCATTATATATGTAAATTTTTTACATTATTTTACAAAATAAATCACAAAAAATTAAAAAATGAACATTTATGTAATTTTTTTTTCTATAGCAGTGAAAATATAAGTACCCACATAATAAGAATATTTGGATAAATGGATTAAAAAAACTCAGTAGAGTAAGAATACAAAGAAAAACTCAGTTTTTTTTTTTTTTTTTTTTTTTTTTTTTTTTTTTTTTTTTTTAAATTTCAAAGGACAAATTTTTTATGACACTGTTCAAAGTATGCTTTGTCTTTTTGGTACATACATAGACCCACATTGCACATTTCACACATGTATCTTGTTCTATGAAGTTTCTTCCTTGTGCTACAAAATGTACACTGCTTGGATCTAAATTTCACTGGTATATGTCCATCATTATTTAGCCTCTTTTCATTTGGCACATGATTTTTTTTTATGTTAATGGGGAGAGGATTGGTCTTTTTGGCTTTTGTAAGGATCATTTGTTTCTCATTCATATTTATTTTATTTGCATTTCATCCCAAAATATTTAGAAAATATTTTTAATTTAAATAAAACTTTTATGCAATTTCTATTTTTAATTATAGCAAAGTATATTTACATTAAATTTAAACCACACAAAATAATTTATAAAATCAAAATGCTTGGGAAGCAAATGTGTTGAGGTCAGAGAAAAATCTGTACAAACGAAAGAACGTTTTACTGGGCAAGTGCATGTATTGTTTAGTAATAAAATAATTCTGGCTTCAAAGCCTCTTATCTGTATCTGGGTAAAAATTAACATTCATATTTGAAAAGCAGCAAATGCCATTGTGAAGAGCAGTGGTTTCAAGGCATGACCACCAAGCCTGTAGAGGATATTGTGAGCATTGGGACACAATGTTTTAGTGGCTCAGTGGTCGTACCCTGAAACCACAAAGCAAATGCCATAAATAGAGATAGGTTTTTTTTATATATGCAGTTTAATTATTGCTATTTTTTAATTGTTTATGATAAAATCATGATGTGCAATGAATAACTTTTGAAATTTAAAATTGTTAAAATGTTAAATTGTTAAAATATGTCTCTTTGAAAACGGATTTTAAAACGCATCTGATTTAAAGTACCAAGACCTAAAATATGTATGATTCTGCAGTCATTTTGTGTTATGAAGAGGTAAAAGATGAGTAATCAATTGATTTTCACTCAAAATTTTCGGAAAAAGGAGAAAAAAATTCGCAAATTGGTGGTTTCAAGGTGCGACCACCGCATGTCAAAGGGGAAAAAAATTGATTACATAAAGAGAAAGAAAATAATTTTTCAAAGATATGTTGTTACAATATTAACAAATTAGGAGAAGCAGAGACTGGTGGGAAAAATTGATTTTTGTACTGAAACAAAAGATGCTAAAGAGAAGAAACCGTAAGTAAATTAGCTAAAATACCTTTAGTTTGGTCAAAACTGGTTCTGCTAATCATGCCAGAATTAGTGACATTGAAGGCAGCCATTGGCCACTAGATCATTCATTTGTGCGTGATTACCACCAAAGAGTCGTGAATTTTTTCATACTTAATTAATTGAGATTTGATTTATTTTAGTATGCCAAATAACAGGTTGATTGCCATCTATTGTAATAACAAAAGGTTTTTGCTGCTTTCTGCAGTGAGAATTATAAATATCTTGACAACAGTAGCTTATCTTAAACACTTGTGAGCCAAATTTGGCTTTCTGGCTTTTTTTTATTTTTTGAGAATTTCTTCTCATTCATCTTTTTGTCCAGCTCTTTGAGCTTATCAAAGATTGAAATATTTGCATGTAAAGGGAATCTATAATCTCATGAATTAAAGTTGGAAAAGTTGTTTATAGGTTTCGTCAAGCTGTACATAGGTGGCAGCATGTAGTGGTGCATTTGTTCACTTAAAGTGTTTTGGGATGGTCTCATACTGCAGTTTAAAGTTCATTATCATTCTGTTGGGCAGGGGAAACTTCATCCTGCGTATCATATTTTCTCATACTGTTCACTCAAAATTACCATTATTACAAAATAACAGAATTTTCTGGTTGAAAGAGACATGTTGTAGACATGTGCTATGCCACTGGAGTCTGGCATATAAATGCAAGTTCACATACAGAGACCCAACAAAAACTTTTGCTTTGTCAAAAAACTATGAATTAAATGAAAAAGTAGAAGCTACTGGACAAAGAAAGGAAGTAAAACAAAATGTGCCTTTTGGGGTGCATTTAAAACATTAAAATATTTGTAAAATTATTATTTAAATATACAAATTAAAAAAAATATTCATCCATTAAAATCATAAATTGTAATGATAATTTCTTTTACTAGGCTATCTTTCAGGGGGGAGAGATAGTGAAATATCACATCAGTAAACAAATAAAAATTCTGCCACAGTCTTCAGTGGATTTTTGGAAAAAATTATTTAATTACTAAATCGCAGAAAGAAAAAAATTTTCATTTTAAAGTATGTTAAATTATTTATTAGTAAATTAATTTTCTTAACAGCCCCAAGAGTACATCAGTGTTCAGTTCTTCTGATTTTTTTTTTTTTTTTTTTTTTTTTTTTTTTAAGCCTAGCTTACAGCATCAAATTCTAGAACATTTTTTCCGATATCCAGCATTAAAAATGGCAGAATAAGTAGAATTCTTGTCAGTCTTTAAAAGTGTCTTGTGGAAAATCGCAGAGGTTGACTGCCAGATTTATAGCTTCCTCAAGAACTTGGGGGAAAAAAAATCAAAGCATATAGTCATAGATCTATTTACTGATTGAAGATTTTTTTAACAGAAATTAGACATCCCAAATAAAGAATAAATTCAGAATTGAAGGAAGAATGCATTTATTTCTTCACTCATATACAAGGACTGTTAATAAAAAAAGACTGAACTTTTTGCTGCTCTTGCTTTATTGGGCTGTTCTCCTTAAAACTTTGAAACCAATCATAAGCTCAGCATCTTCATGGGTTTGGTTAAGCATTTGGAATGCTTTGATGGAAGTTTTATGCAAATTGCATTGTTCCTGTAACTAACTCCTACATGTTTGCTTTTTTTTTTTTTTTTTTTTTCTAATCCAGTGAGCAGCTTGTGCATAACTTCACTCAACTGGAAATATTCAATAACAAACACATAAATCAGAATCTCGTAAAAGGCCATATGTTATCAAGGTATGTTGCTAGGTGCATATGGTGGCCAAAGCATGCCATCTGAAACCATTGGCACACAATTTAAAAAGTGATCTTTTTTTTAACAGTTCTCATATAAACATATAAATGATTTCATAGTAAATGTTACAAGCATCAATAAACATCTTTCACATATTTTGCACATCAAATGATATGGTGCTAGATCTTTTAATATGTAATTTCACTAAAGTAAGTATATCTTATAAGTATATTTTCCTATTAAAATTATATTCATTAAATAATCAGTGGAGTATGTTACCTATATTTTTAAATGACTAACATTTTTTTTCAAGCCTGTATCCCCTAAAGGCTGCACTTCCATTTCAATGATATTTTATCCTTTTACAATGCTTTGGTCTTTGACTTGCTGAATAAGTAAAGAATGTTTAATGATAAAAGTTTAATGAAAAGAAAACCTCTCTGATTTTGATTTATTAGTAAATAACACATAGAATATACAAAAACTATAAAATGCCCTAACTAGATTTTTAAGTGCAAAAGCAATAGATAGATAGATCCCAATTAAACATTAGGTGTCACCAATATTTTGATACAGTGATAATAAAAAGCATTCTTAATATGAAATCTCATATTTCTTTTCAGATACTTTATTGTTGAAATTTATTTGCAGATCCTGTACTAAATAATGAAACATAGATACAATATTTTAATAATACAGCACAAAGTCCGAAATCCAGACTTGTCGGAACTTCGGAGATTCCAGATTTTTTATCATCAATTTAAATCTGGTAAGCTTAAGCTGGCATACAGAAATTATACAATTAAAAATATCAGATTATAATTTATGAAATAAAGAACAATTATGATCTAAAGAATATAAAAATTTACAAAAAAAAAAAAAAAAAAAAAAAAAAAAGATTAATATTTAAGTTTACTTTATTAAACATTTCTTTCAATGTAAGTTGTTTTAGTTGCTTCCACAAAAAATTTAAAAAGTTCCTTTTTCTTTTTTCTTATGTCATATATAGTTGACTTTCCAATGCGACACTCCTTGCATAATTTTGAGACAGATATGCTTTTATCCATTTTTTTAAAACAACTCCCCTTTTTGTTTAAAGGTATCGAAACATGGTTTCGCTTTGTAGATCCTTTGGCAGCTCCAGAATTGGAAGCTCTTTCCGACATAATCGAAAGTTCAAGCTTAGTTTTTATAATATAATATAGCCATAATAATAACAGTCTGCAAAAAATAATAAGCTGGATTAAATTGTAAGATTAGGGAGCAGCGTAGTCTGCTACATTTACTGAAATGCCTTAGAATCAGTAAAGATAATTTTTAGCCTAGCTTAATAGCGTCCGTTGTACATTATTGGCTGTATATCACAAGATTGGCGACGAAAGCCAAGTTGTTTTCCTAAATTTTGTCTTGCTCCTATTGCGTACTGAATTAAACCTGAATTGTATTAGTTTAGTCATTTACTATACCTATGTTTATTTCTTGTGCATGCTTAAAACTAATCCAAGTCCTAAATAAATAAACTCCCACATATACTTAAGGCTCTAGGGCCGCCACTTAAATACTACCTGGTGCAGTCTCTATGGGTCCTAAATCCTTCTACGAAGCACCTTCCTAAGCTCTAAATTTTCACCGCACTGCCTAAGCTTTGGATCCCAGTGCTTTCCCTAAATCATAAAATACTTCTCATCCCTTAATTTTGCCACTCGGTGCTTCCCCAAATTCCAAAAATTTCGTCTTTCCTAAATTCTGCCGTCTGGTGCCGACATATTCTGCCGCCGCTTCTGGGTTTATGGTGAAACATATCAGTTATTCTTAATTAAAATAGCACTAAATGTAATCTTTTGGCCTATGAGTTTCATTAACAAAATCTATTTTTATCATATGCAAATAAATTTTTGTTGAATTTTTCCTTGTCAACATTTCTTAGAGAATTTAAAAATCTATAATCATAGCCAAGTGTAATGCTAGCATAAAAGGTTGCCATACTCTTGTTATTCAATTACTAATATAAAAAAAAAAATTAGACATCACTGCATGAGTTATTACTGAAGCTGTCATCTATTGATAAACATGCGGTGATGAAAGCAAAATATAATAAATAATGACTTGCCAAGTCAGCATCAGGGATATAAAAATAGGTGAATGTTTTGGTTTGAGAGGTATGCCAAGCAAATACTTAGCTACGGAGCCAAATTCTTAATCTCACAAATTTATGCTTACACTTTTTCTAATGAGGTATTTTATTTAGTGCCTAAGTGAAATTAAGAATCGGAATTTTTAACTGAAAATCTCCACATGTTTTATTATGGAAGGAAAAATCAAATGTGTATGCATAAAGCATAGCAAAAAAAAAAAAAGTTTGTGGCTTTGAGGTCCGGACTGTAGATCATTCCGGATAATGAACATCTGGATTTCGGACTTTGTACTGAATATTATTTTTTCTTTTTTTTAAGCCTTGCTTGTTGCAAAGTACAGATGCAGGACAAAATAATGCGAACACCTGTGGAAAAGGTATGACTTATTTCACACCTGCAGTACAGCTGCGCCACCTGCAACAGAAGTCTGCCACCTAGTGAGCGTGAAGAGGAAGGTATCAGTCTCTCAACAGCAGTCACTTGCGTTGCATGCTTCGATCGAACTGTCTGTGAGAAACTGAAATGTCAGACCTGTCAGAGTTCCAAAGAGGAATGATAGTTGGAGCACGTTTAAGTGGAGCATCGGTTATGGAAACAGCAAACCTTGTGGGGTGGACAAGGAGTATGGTATCAGCTGTTATGACAGCGTACACGAAAGAGGGTAAGACGACATCTTCAAAGCATAACAGTGGGCGAAAGTCAAAGCTGGCTGATAGGGATAGACGGGTCTTGAAGAGTAGCCCAAAAGCACAAGTAATTGTTATCCAAGATAACATTCGAAATGAACAGTCATCTCCAGGATCCCGTTTCAACAAAAACTGTCAAAAGAGAACTTCATGCAGTGAATATTTATGGTAGAGTGGCAATTCGTAAACCCTTGGTGACAGCAAGTAATCCTTTAAAGCGATGCTGATGGTGCAGAAATCACAGCAGTGGCAAAAGGTAATATGGTCAGATAAATCGTCATTCACCCTATTTCAGACGACAGGATGTGTTTATGTCTGGAGAACGCCCAAAGAAGTGTTTCATCCTGACTGCCTCTTGCCGACTGTGAAGCAGGGGTGGCGCCATTATGGTACGGAGTGCGAAGTCTTGGCACAATCCTTGGCCACTTGTTATTCTGCATGGGAAGATCACATCCAATCACTATATAAGCATTCTAGGAGATCATGTCCATCCTTTTGTCCAGACTGTATTCCCTGGGGAATGACCGCTTTTTCAAGATGACAACACCCTTATCCACACTGCTAGGTGTATTCAAGAATGGTTCGAATACCAAGATGATACAATTGAACATATCACTTGGCCTCCTCAGTCTTTGGACGTTAATATTATTGAACATTTATGGCCATATTTAGAGTCCAAACTTAGTTCCCGATTTTCACCTCCATCCGGTCTTTCGGAATTAGACCGCTCTGCAGGAGGAATGGCTTAATATTCCTTTAAGTATTGTCCATGACCTTTACGCATCTATCCCACATCGCATTCAATCTGTACTGCAGTCAAAGGGTGGTCCAACCCCCCCTATTAATAAAGATTTTCCATTATTTCACAGGTGTTCATATTATTTTGTCCTCCATCTGTAAATACCATCAAAATATTCCTCGTAACAAAATAATTTTGTGAGCTTATTACAAAAAATAAAATGTTATAAAATGCTACAGAGAAAATATTCAAGAAACTTGCTTGAAGTTTTCAGGAAGGCGAGAAGAGGATGCATAAGAAAGAATTTTTCATAAAGACCTATTTACAGTTGTTGAACATGCTCGGGGTTCTAATGTGAGCAGAGCTTTCTTTCACAAAATTAATTTTGGATATAAAACTTTCAAACCACATACAACAGTTTGTAAGAACAAAGATGGATTAATTCTGACTGATAGGAATGATATTCTCAATCAACAGAATGGATATTTAACAACATTACCCAACAATTACAACTCAAGTTGTGAAAGTTTGACTCCAGTAATGGTAGCATGGATGATATCACTTATCTTTCATGGAAATAAATGAAGCAATACATAAATTGAAAAACTACAAATCTCCAGGCCCTCTGAATTTATTAAAAATCGTGGACCACACACTGTCAAGAAAATGCACCATTTAATAGAATTTACATGGAACAAGTAAGTAATACCAGAAGGATGGAATTTTAAGTATTGTCTGTCTTGTTTATAAAAAGGGAATCTTGGAGTGTTCTACGTGCATTTTATGGTATTGCCTAATAGTTTTTATAACAGATTAGTTGTTTATATAGCTAATATGATTGGTGATTATCAGTGTAGCTTCCCTAAAAGAGGGCTCACTGTTGAGCAAATCATGAATATAAAGCAAATAATGGAAAAGACCACAGAATTTGACATTCCATCATTTACTCACAGATTTTAAAAACTCCTCATGATTCAATTAACAAACAACGATTTATTCATTCTGTGACGGTATTTAACATCTCTGAAAAGCTTGTTAAACTTGTTTCCATTACTTTACAGACCTTACAGAAACTTGTTTCCATTACTTGAGGGTTTCATATAGCTTGGCTCTGTAATTAATATTGAGAACAACAGCTCTCCTGAAATTCATAACACTTGTTAACCAATGCTTCTTTAGACTAGAAGAGAAACACGCTAATGTGACAATCAAAATCGTAAAAACAACCTTTTATTTAGCGCAAGTATATTGAAACAATCGATTTCGAGGGCAGCTAAAGGTCCCTCCTCATCAGGAGAAAGAAATACCTAGAAAGAAGAAAACTAAAGGGGAAGAAGTCTCAGAAACACGTGGTCCTTATCAGCACTGCACATGGTTATAACCGGATTTTTAATCAGAGTTACACTGGCCGCCTACTTTTACTGAGCCAGGCTTTCTGATCAAACATGTAACACAAAGGACAAAGAATTAGCGAAGTTAAAAATAGGGAACGAGGGGCAACTGCACCTTCACGCTCAAAATCTGAACTTCGAATAATGGAAAGCAACCACAGAACGGACTTTTATACCCTCTGGTAGTACCAAACGTGAGGAGGTAACGCCATCTATCGGCAAAAATAGTAACTGAATTAAGATAGTAGAATTTTAAAGGCATTAGGAAGGACTGGATTGGACTTAAAATCATTAACTAAACATGCTAAATCTTTGTGAATATGAAAAGCCTCCAGAAAATCCAATTCACCTATGGAAAAAGCCTTTTGGGTAATTTTTGCAGACCCAAAGTCAAAATTATGGTTAAATGTCCAACTATGCTATTGAAGATTTTTTAATTTCGCCTTTTCTGACATAAGATTTATGTTCCTTGATACGAAACTTCAACGCTCTTTTTGTTTGGCCAATATATCTTAAACCACACTGACACAATATACTATAAATTCCCCAAGAATTCAAGACAGAAACGCAATCTTTTAGAATCGAAGGGTGAATTTTATTAATAGGGGAGAAACCGACTTGAAAATTGAATTTCTGGAGAATCCGTGCAACAGAAGCTAACAGAAGGATAAAATGGAAGCACGACAAGGTCATGAATATTATTTCTAACGATGGAATTTCTTTTTTGATGGGAATCTGAAAATTTTTTAACAGGCTTTATCAATAATCACGGGAGAAAACCCACGGTCAATCGCAACTGCTCTCAAATAATTAAAATAATAAGTTCATTGGTAAGCAAAGATTCAGAGGAAACAAACTTTAAGCGCGCGGAATACATAATAGTAAAAAGAAGCCATTTTTTACCTTAACAGGGTGGCATGACTTGGCATGGGGTGGTAAACAAACTGCAAAGGGTTTACGGTACACAGTAGTGCTAAAATCAGTTTCATTGCGGATTATACAAATATCAAGGAAGGGGAGGGAATTGTTGGATTCAATTTCAAGAGTGAATTGGATGGCTGGATCAATTGAATTCATAATAGAATCTCGGATAAATCCTCTTTATAACTGTCAAAAAGTACGAAAGTGTCGTCTACATACCAAATCCAAACAGCATTGTGTAATTGCCAAAAAACAAGAATTTCAATGAATGAATATTTAATAAAAAATGAAAATCTCTCAAAGAAGCACTCCCTGCCCCCTCAAAAAGAATGAAGTCAACAACCACTGAAACTGTTTTCCTAAAATGCTATCAAGCTAAAAGTCTAAAACATGTTTTAATTTCTAGAGCTTTTTTTCACTAATTCACGAAATGCTAGGACAGAATTTTGTATCAAATGACAGATCATGAATTGATAAAACTGGCTCATAAGTTGCAGAAAGAGAAACCCAACACTGTTCATCAGTAGCTTCAGTGTGACAATAAAGATGCAGATCATGATACAATCGATAATCGAATAAAAGATGTTTGACTTTTGATTGCTGAATGAATACAAGCCAAATGAAATTTGTAATACAGACAAAAAAAGACTGCATTACAAAAAACACTGCCAAAAACAATATTAAAAAGTGAAACTGCAGCTGGATTACGAAAATAAAGGAATAAGTTACTGTTTTATTAACATGATTCGACATTTCAGGAAACAGCACTTGTTACTGACATAAGCAGAAAACCTTGATGTTTGAAAGCATTCAAGAATTTACTTCTACCTTAATATAGCAATAGGCAGCCATGGATGCCAAGCAATATTTTCACATGTATTCTTTCAAAATGAAACAGCAATCGAAAAAAAAAAAAAAAGCTTTATTAATTAGATAACTGTGCAGTACACCTCTGATCTCTTCCAGAAAAACATTTGAGTCACTTCCTGCAAATACAATCTCTAACATCCAATCCAGAGTATTATAAAAGCTTCCAGAAGTTACAACAGAAAATATGTCTAAAAAATGGATAACAAATAAATTTTGTAAAAATGGAAGCACTTCAAAGAAGATAAGTAAGTCAATATATCTTCTAGAGGCCATGCATATTACAATCAAAGTGAAATTAATCTCTTAAAATTAGTTAAAAGCTGTTTTTAAAAATGTGGCTTTATGTAGAAGAATCGGAGGAATCCAAAACTAAAGCTATCCAAATCTCAGAGGAATCCAAAACAATAGCTAACACTTCAGACGAAAGAAGAAACTGGCAGCAAAACTGATATAGAAAAAAGTGATTGCATCCCAACATCAATTGAATGTAGAAAAGCACAGGAAATTCTAAGAAAAACTCTTTACCTAAAAATGTGTGGATCAGAAACATTACCAGCTGTTTTACTAAATTGAGAAAACAATCGGAAAACTATTGTTGAAGAATATGAAACAAACATATATAGAACAAATATTTCCAAGAGATAAAATTTCTTCAAGAATGTAATTATGAGAATATTTTTATAAAATTTTTTTTAATAAATTTCAAATTTATGCATAGTTTAATTTAAAAATGACATTTTCATTATTATTTTAGAATATTTTATTGAATTATTTATTACCTATTATTTTACTTGAAAAATTTTAAATTCATATCACAATTTGCAATACACAAATCACCATCAATTAAATTCAGCTGCTTAATAAACTTAAATATGTTTGGAACAGAAATTACTTTAATATGTGGCAGATACTGTAATTAGAAATGCACCAAGACATTTCTACGATTAACAAATATTTTTTCACACTATTACATTTGCATATTTATCAGAAATAATATTTTCCTACATTGCATCAATGAATCGAAACTATATTTAGGTCACAAATTAGAAAAGATTCTGAGAACTTCAGCCAGAATCTAATAAAGACATGAAATAAACTTAAGTGTAAAAAATAATGGGATTTTCAAAACAAAATTTACTATTAATTTTGATTTTTATAAATTTGAATAAATGATATAAATTTGTCTAATATATCATTTTGAATGTGTCAAAAACCTTATCAGAATTAAGAATCAGTTTCTCAGTATTTGCTTAAAATAAATATTTAGGTTCATATTTTTATAATTTCCTTAATTACAAGAAGTAAAAAAATAACGTACCTTCTCCTTTCTTACACACTTTTGTAACAAGGCCCATTTCAAATGCTTCTTTCGCACTTACACCTCTTCCAGTTAAAATTAAATCTAAAGATCGGCTTAATCCAATAAGTGCAGGCAAACGAACAGTTCCGCCATCAATTAGAGGCACTCCTAAAGTTAATGAATTTCATTGCTTGCAGAACTTTAAATAAATTCATTAAATTGACTAAATTCATTAAGGTTTTTGTCACTCATATTTCACAAAACCTTACTGCATCTATTCTTACTGGTATATGAGACATCTATACCTTATTTGCACATACTATAAAGCTGTCTGTTGACATAATTGATTTGAACAATGATTATTACCCCTTTATTGAGGACAACTGTCTGACTGTCTACGACTCAAGGCCATTTAAAAAGGTTTTCCAATTAAAATTTGGGAGAAAAAATAATAAAAACTATTTCTGTCAAAATTTGCTACAAAAGTGGACACAATGCACATGATACAGAATTAACATGTGGTCATTGCAGTCCTAGATTTAGTCTCAAGCGACTTTTTTCAATGGGTGTTAGTCAAGATCACAGTTTGTGTGCCTCTGCATTTTGCTAATCCTTAGGATGCTACTACTGTATCATTGATGACTTAGCTTTTGAACACTGGCATGCCTATGGAATGAAATGGGTTATTGTTTAGATGTCCACAATACTAGCAGAAAACACATAAGCTTTTATGAAATATGTTAAATGAGTTAGCAAGTTTCCATTTATTTAAATGCAATAAAATTTGATTTTGGTTGCACAAAATTATAATAAGAGTAAGTCTGCACATTAGTGTGGAATGAAAAGGCCTCTGCCCCCCTTTTTAGCCAATTTAAATTAACCTATGTATGGAAAACATGCTTTTTGTCACCTCACAAAGTTTGAGGTCTATATGGCATTGCCATTTTAGTCTTGAAAATTCACTCTTATTTGAACTCTCACCCCCAATACTCCCAACTGTTAATTATTTACTATGCAATAAAATGCAGCTCTTAGTTTCAATTTCCTAAATACAAATTACCCAGCATTTACAACTTTGAGACAGATGCATATTGAATTCAGAGCCTTATACTTCTGATTATTAAAATACACTCTTAGACACAAAAAAAAAAAAAAAAAAAAAAAAAAAAACCCGCATCGAGAAGACATAAAGCAAATTGGACACAAATTGATATGCATACAGGACGGAAAATGCAAAATTTTACATTTTGGCTGCCAATGAATCAATGGTTGTCGCTGATCTGCGCAACTGGCAGGATATTTAAGAGGAGATATTACCATTCCAGGTCATAAATTCTTCACGAATTTCATTCCGTTTACTCTGGTAGTTAATAACTATGCCTCACATACAGGTGTGCGAACAATATGCACAGATCTCAGAATTTAGAGAGGTCGTGTAGTTGGGCTTGAAGCCGGTTGGTCTTATTGGCGAATAGCTCGACATTTGAGCAGGAGCAATGCCACTATTAGACGATGCTGGCAGGAATGGGTGAACCATGGCCGCATACATCAAGAAGAAAGCAGTAGGCCTAGAGAAACAACAGAACGTGAAGACTGAGTAATCGTTAGAGCGGCACTCACAGCCCCAGATGCATCATTATCATCGATTGTACGTGCAACTAGTGCTTCAGTGACTGCAAGGACACTGCAAATGGTCAAGCCCATTTGCAGTGGTGTTGGGCTCATTCGCACTGGAATGTCACTGACTGGAGTAGAATAATCTTCATTGATGAGTCCCGCTTTGAACTGAGCTCCGATGACCAGTGAAGGCAAGTCTGGAGACACCCCGGACAGCGGTGTGATACCAACCTGACTGTCTTCTGGCAGACAGGCCGACAACCAGGAGTGACGGTCTGGGGTGCCATTTCATTTCATAGCAGGACCCCTTCGGTTGTCATCTGTTGCAATCTTACAGCACAGCGGTACGCCGACGAAGTTCTAAGGCCCGTTGTGTTGCTCTTCATGTCATGCCACCCTGGTCTTACATTTCAGCAAGATAATGCCCGCCCCCACACTGCACATGTTTCTACTGCTTGCCTTAGCACTTGCCGAACATTACCTTGGCCAGCAAGGTCGCCAGATGTTTCTGTTATTGAGCACGTTTTAAGCATTATGGGCAGGGCCCTCCAACCAGCTTGGGATATTCATGATCTAATGCACCAATTGGACAGAATTTAGCACGATATCCCTCAGCAGGACATCCGCAACCTCTATCAATCGATGCCAAGCCGAATAACTGCTTGCATACGGGTCAGAGGTGGACAAATGCGTTACTCACTTTTTCACTTTGTGAAGCTCTATCACTTCAATAAATCATCCAATTTTTCTCAAACTATAATAATTTTTTCCAGCACATGTACATCACTTCTACCGATTTTCGTCCCATTCGGATGACTCCTTCTTGGTGCGCCAGTTTTTTTTTTTTTTTTTTTTTTGTCTCAAGAGTGTATATTATATACCATTAATAACAGCTATTCTTTAATTTTTGTACCAAGATTACATTGAGTTTTTGTTCTTTCATTCCTGATCTTGCTGCGATAGATAACATTTTATGTGCCCTTTTTAATCAAAATCCACATAGCCTTTAAAGCAGAGACCTCAAATTCAAATGGCATACAGGACATATACGTAATCTGAAAGCAGCTGATGGGCCAGAATTATTTTTAATAAAATTAGAAGTCTTTTATTAATAACATAAATTTTTTAACTGGATTTTTATTTTATTTGCTAATTGTTATCTAAAATATACATAAGAAATAATAATGAAAAAATTCAAATTTATATTTATTTTCTTTCTGTATGAAATCTAAAGGTTGGTATCTGTAAGAAATTTCTATACTTCGAAGGTCTTGTAATTCAAACTTGTTGGCAGCTAAATTTTTAAAAGTTATTTAAAATAATTCTAATATGCTGAATTAATCATTAAATAACTTATGTAAGCCAGAAATAAACAAATTAAAAAACTTTCCAAATGGGACAAAAGTCTGAGAATAAATAATGACAGCCTACTTTCTTCCTTTAATTTTTTCTTCAATACATATAGAAAAAATTCCTATTAAAATATGTAAGTAATTATAAATTTCTCCATTTCTTACTGCAGCACCTCAAAGTGTTTTGATTTTTATAAAGTTTGTAACCTTGTAGAAAAATTACCAGAAATTATCTTCATTATAAACTGCAGATACCCATCAGTCAATGTCCTTTTCATGGACTTATTAATTTTCAGCTGCAAGGGATGGGACTTTTCACATATAAATATACTCCCAAATAAAATGATTATTTTTATTGGAAAAATTCATAAATGGGGGTATTTATCTTTTGACAAATACGAATAAAAGTTAAATATGTATCTGCAATTATTTGAATAAGATTTATATTACAGTTTAAATTAGTTCCATCTGTAAATTTTCTAAGGTGTTATTCACATTTGCTCTTGGTGGTGAAAATAATGTCAGATTGGTTTCCAAATCCTTAAAATCCTAAACATTTTCTTCAAATTCTTGTCATAATAATGTTAATTAATTTCTAAGAAATATAGTCACATGCCTTGTAAAATTGCAACCTACTAGTCAGAGATCACTGCTTTAAAGTAGCAATGACTGATGCAGACTCTTCTGAAACTCTGAACAGGTTTCAACGGGCCTTAGAACTTCTGAAAATAGTTTTATCACATTCCTGAGCTAAACCTTTTAGTTTCATTTTCATTAGAGAAGTTTGAAATTTTATTACAGTTGTTCGCTTTCCCCCCCTTTTTTCCCCTGAAGAATAAATTCAATGTCTTAATCTTTGTCTGCAGAACTTACAGGCAAAGAAGGATCAATGGCTTGTTCGACTTAACATAGGAAAAAGATAAGAACCTGACTCATGCCAATCCTACTATCTTGTAACTGAGCTGTTTGAATTCTTTTATCGTGGCTTTATGCTTAAGAATTTTTATAATTTTTCAGTCGATGGTTCCAATAATTTTTCTTAATATTCTTTGATAAGTTTAAAAAAAATCTCACAAGCAAAGTGATCATCTTACTTTTATCTCACAAGCAGAGTCTTTGCATTTATACACTGAAATATCAAAAAGATTTTTCTCTCAATCTACTGTCTAAATGAGACAATTATTTTTTTCTTAATTATTAAGACTACCAACCTTTTCAGACTCTTGTTATTAAAGAGTATGTTCTATGAAATTGTCTCACTGTACAAAATATTTGTTGATCTGAAATAACAGAAGTAGAATTCTCTTCTGTTGCTTCAAGTTTTCCAAACAAAGTTTGGAGTTGTCGTGTTTATTACACTGGGTTCTTTGGATTTTATAAACAGTTTTTGAAGATTAAGCAAATAACATTTTATTATGTCCTCAGAAGTTGGTATCACATTTTCATTAAACAATTCTGGTGTCCCAAATATGAAGCATAAAACAAATTAAAACTAATTAAAATTGGGTTTGAATATAAGAAATATTATTAAAAGTAATAGCTTAAACACTCTCACACAGAAAAACAAATGAAATACAATAAGAACAAGCTTGCTTGTGAATGTTTTGCTTTGACACAGTGTTTGCTGTCAAGCACAACATGCCTGGCATGGGCCATCTGGGCCAGATAGCTTCATAAATTTATAAAGCTTCATTCAAAATTTAAAAGATGGATAGTTTGTGTTCAGAGACATAGAATATTAATATGAAAACATTGAAGTAATTGATGTAATGGTGAAACTTTGAGGAAGATTTCAGCAGCTAAAAACCAAATAGACTTTGGGACAAATTTTGCATGTTAAATATGTTTAATAAAAGAAATGTTTTGATACATAAGCGACCTAAATGTTAAAATACTCCCATTCCACTCAATGGTTCATATATCTATGCATATGCACATCCTTCTTAATTTAAGTTCATTTTTCCATCCCATCATTTAATAAATATACAATTAGTTCTGAAGTCTAGAATTCTCAGATTTTAAAATATTAGCATATGAAAGTTAAAATCACATACTTAAAAATCTATCTTAGTTTACATAATTCTATCAGATATTCCATGGATTAAAATCTAAGAAATAAAACACCATAAAAGATATATTTTGTAGAATAACTTTTTTTGCAATAAGAATTGGGAACAAAACAGATACATGCAGTTTTTCACCATACACAGCGAATAAGATGCATATACTAAATACATCTATACATATACCACACAGAATGTTTAAAAAATACATATCAAACAAATACATGCAGTTTTTAACCATACAGAGTGCCCAGCAAAAGGGTTAAGATTGCTTTGGTTTGGTTTGGTTTATTTAATTATGGCAAAGCACACTAGGGCTATCTGCCTAAGGGGAGGGATGTCTTCGTGGAGGGCTTTCTAAGGGAAACTGGCTCGTATACACGTTACACACGGGAAAAACCACGAAAACACTCATGCAGCCAGCCTGTTCGTGGGATTCGAACCTCGGACTGAACTACCAGTGTTAAGTGACTTTACCGCTCGGCTGCTGGTGGGCCTAGGGTTGGGATTGAGCATAGGTCCCGTATGCATTCTAAGGTTAATACACTGAAGTGACAAAAGTCATGGGATAGCAATATGCAAATATACAGATGGCAGTAGTATCGCGTAGAAAATGTATAAATCCGAAGTGCTTTGGCAGGGCTTTCATTTGTGTTCAAGTTATTCATGTGAAGAGGTTTTGACATAATTATGGCAGCACGACGAGAATTAACAGACTTTGAACGCGGAATGGTAGTTGGAGCTAGACGCATGGGTCATTCCATTTCGGATATCGTTAGGGAATTCAACATTCCGAGATCCACAGTGTCAAGAGTGTGCCAAGAGTATCTAATTTCAGGCATAACATCCCACCATGGACAGCGCAGTGGCCGATCACCTGCACTTAACGACCAAGACCAGCGACGTCTGCGTAGAGTTGTCAATGTTCACAGACAAGCAACACTGCATCAAATAACCGCAGAAATCAATGTGGGACGTACAAGGGATGTGTCCGATAGGACAGTGCGGCGAAATTTGTCTTCCTTGGGCTATGCCAGCAGAAGACCGACTCGAGTGCCTTTACTGACAGCACGACATCGCCTGCAGCAACTCTCGTGGGCTCGTGAGAATATCGGTTGGTCCCTAAACGAATGGAAAACCATGGCTTGGTCAGATGAGTCACAATTCAGTTGGTAAGAGCTGATGGTAGGGTTCGAGTGTGGCGCAGACCCCACGAAGCCATGGACCCAAGTTGTCAACAAGGCACTGTTCAAGCTGGTGGTGGTTCCATAATGGTCTGGGCTGTTTTTACATGGCATGGACTTGGTCCTCTGGTGCAACTGAACCAATCATTGACTGGAAATGGATACCTTCAGCTACTTGGAGATCACTTACAGCCATTCATGGACTTCACGTACTCAAACAACGATGGGATTTTTATGGATGACAATGCGCTATGTCACCAGGCCACAATTGTTCGCGATTGGTTAGAAGAACATTCTGGACAACTCCAGTGAATGATCTGGCCAGCTAGATCGCCCGACATGAATCCCATCGAACATTTATGGGACATCATCGAGAGGTCAACCCTGCACTGTCAACACTTTCATAATTATGGACGTCTATAGAGGCAGCATGGCTCCAATATTCCTGCAGGGGACTTCCAACAACTTGTTGAGTCCATGCCACATCGAGTTGCTGCACTTCGCCGGACAAAAGGAGGAATGATAAAATATTAGGAGGTATCCCATGACTTTTGTCACTTCGGTGTATAGACTAAAGGTAATTGAAAAGCATGCATTTTACATTGAAGTCTTACCAAATCTCCGGCAAAAAGCTCCTAGGATGGCTGTTTCTTCCATGATACGCAAGTCACACCATAATGCTAATTCCAGGCCCCCTGCAACAGCATAACCATTTATTGCAGCAACAACAGGTTTTGATAACTCCATTTTCGTCGGTCCCTAACAAATTTTTAATACATATTTTAGAGACTAAAAATATGTCATAACTGTATTTATTTTACAGACACTCCTCATATCAGCTCCAAACTGCATGATTTATGAACTGTACAATTTTTTAATAAATTTGACCATTTAAATTTATTAACATTTACATCAGTGGTCTCAAACAGCATGTGGGCTGAATGTACAATCTGAATGCAAATCATAAGCCATATTTTTTTTAACAAACTGAATTTTTTAAACTAAATCTGAAATTTTAGTTACCAAATATTTAGTAAAATATACAACAATAATAATGATCATGAGATAGAAAATAAATCAAATTCAAATTGAATATTATATTTTGATTCAAGAACTAATGAAATCATACCCTCAAATTTTATTCCATGGCTGCAATATAGCTTTAGGCAAACAGCTTTAGTTGTTTTGCTTAATAATTAAATCTTTCAGTCTTTTAAAGTTATGTATTATGTTCAATTTACTTTAGTTTAATGATTTTATTAGATATTTTTATACTACTAAAATTTAATCATTTCATTTTGTGAACAGATATTTATGACTGGTATTGTAATGCATATTTCATACATAATCCCTCTTTCTTAAAGTGAAATAAAAACAATACATATTTTATAAATTTCTATTATAATATATAACATTTTGTTTTCATTGAACTTAAGCACTTATAATGCAATAATTATGAAATATGCTTGATGGATATTTCTGTTACATATATGAACTTTGTTTTCCTGTTTGTTGTCCAAATAATTTGGCTACTTTGTTTACATAATTTCATACTTTCTAAATTTTGCTTATGAGGATAGCTGAAATCCTGTCCTAAGAGAAAACAACTTCTGTTGATAACTCAGAAAACAGCATTAGAAGCAATTTGGACTATTGATAAGATGTTGCAAAACAGCATTTTTGATAGTATGCAACTTTCTTAGTTAAATGTATTTATATGTTGGTGGAAGATACTACCCAATTTTATAAATGTCATTATACTCCTATGCAGTATGATATGCTGTAAAGTAAATGCCTTGTTGCTATATACAGCATGTAAGAAATTAAGACTGATTTTTCTGGAAAGACATCTACATACCCGCAAAACAATTATGACTACTGGATTGTATTAACTACTGAATCATTAATACTCTACAATACATAAACACTATTTGCTTTAAAAAATAGTGTCATGGAAACAAGAAATAAAACATCTATTTATCAAACAATAATTATTCAAAACCCTGAAATACTTAATTGTGCAAAATTCTTACTTTATATTATTTCTTACGAACAAAAGTTCCTGTATTGCTTCAGATTAGTATAGAGATACAAATATAATATATAAAATACTTGTTTTCCTACCTTTATAATGTATACAAATAATTATATAAAGACTTTAAAATAATCATTCTGTACTTTTAGTAAACTAGTAGTTTACATCTGTGTGCAGAATTAAGAAAACTTGCACATTACGTCAAATTTCTGAAAAACTAATGGATTTAATTATTATTAATTTTAATGAAATTTGGCATGGATACGCATTTCTAACAAAGAAAGTGATATACCATTCAAAAGTCATTTTATGTATGCATGATTATCAGTAAAGCTCACACTGCAAGGATATCCAAAATCCAATTTGTGATATCGGTTTGAAAATGAGTCTAATATGAGGTATGATCTCCTCTCACAGCCAGACAAGCCACGCAGCATGACAACATACTGGACAGGAAGCAGTTGAGAAATCCCTGTGGCAGCCAATTTCACTCGTGTAGCAAGGCAGTTTTCAATCCAGGAAGATTCTTGGAAATGGCACGATAAGTGAAACTGCCCTCCCAAGAGTGCTTCAGACCATGCTCTATAAAGGTTAAGGTCAAGAGATCTGGCTGGCCAATCCATCCAGTGAATAACCTCACTTTCCAGGTAATCGTCAACCAGCCGAACCCTATGTGAATGAGTGTTGTCATCCATTAACATGAACTTAGAACCAACTGCTCTCCTGAAAAACGGAACATAGGGCTCTAAGAACTACTCACTATACCCCATAGTAGTCAGGAAGCCTGTGAGTAGGGGTGAGCAGCCATCCAACACAAGTGTAAAAGCACAACACTCCAATGAAGTCTGATTCAAGGCATACATTGATTCAAAGCACATTCTATGTGCTACAGTGAGTGAGATGCAAACAGCAGGTCTTCTGGCATACAGCCTTATCTTCTGAAGTTTTCAGGCAACTGCAGACCATGAAATTCAGGTTCCAGTGGCAGTATACAACTCATGTGAGAGCTGTGAAGCTCTAGCAGTCCTCTGTTACTATGCTGAACATCCCAAATAATGATCATCGTTCATCATTGTGGATCTCTGTCAACTTTGTCCAGGTTTTCTAAATATGGATCCAGTGCCCAGACACGGTTTCCACAAATTGCAAATGTTACTGGGGGTCCCACTGAGCTCTGAAGAAACAGCACTTTTGATTGGCTTGCCTCCAATCTACCAACAATTTTCCATCTCAATCTGGCATTATAAATTATACCCAACTCTTGCAAAACACAATGAACGTCACGAAGGATTACAAGCACACAAATCGCCAAAAACCATTCATACGCTTATATCCCTTCCATAAGCACAGCTCCACAGACATGCAAGTGTACGCTTATGCATTTGAGTTTAAATATTTGCATAATTCTTTGGTGGCATTATTAGCACCTTTGGTTCAATACTTCTCATAAAAATTAATATAATTTGCAAAATTTTTAATTTTGCACATGAGTGTAAGTAGCACTTAATTACAGTATGCTCTTAATGGCAGTATTAATATTAGAAGATCAAAATTTACATAAAAATGAAAATAAAGTTTTATAATTATGCACAGAATTACCATTGGGCCATCATGAATTGATAGCTCAGTAATATTTCCAGCAGCAATTTCTTGCAAATCATAACCTGCACAAAATGTTCCACCTAAAATAAATAAAATATCATTAATCTATCATGTGAATGTAATTTAAATGAAAAAATAATTTTAGCAAGTAAACAGTACTGTGAAAATAATTTATTGCTCTTAAATTTTGCAAAAATATCTATAATGTTTTACAATACACAATAACACGGCATACATATATGTGATAACTTGAAAAATTTTGAAGTCGCAATGTTGAAGCATAAGAGATTTAATATTTCCTTTTTATTTATGAATGACAAGCATATTTATTATAAGCCAAAAGAAATAAAATGGGTCTAATAGCAGCTGTTTTTTGAAGAACTAAATTGATACCAATGTATTTTTAAACTATAATTTTGAAGATAGTAGACAACAGCAAGTTTGCAGAAGCAAAGCTGAGGAGTAAATTTGTCATATTCCAAGCTCAAGGCTGATTGAGGCACAAGGATCTGAGATTCAGTTTACAATTTTGAATCATCTGTGCCACCAATATGAAGTAAAGGATGGAAAGAGGATGTATCCAAATTAAAACAGAGAATTAAGGGGGTATAGTAAATTAAAGTTATTATTTTGATTTACTTATTCTTTTATTTTACATATACATAGCACATAAAAATCAGAAATTGTGCATTTCTGGGGTTTTTTAAATTTTGAAAAAGTAAAGAAATTATTTTCATAACATTTTTCTTCTTTTTCTAGATGCAAGATGTGAATTTGACAAAATTCATACTTTGTTCATGGAAGCAATTTTGGAAAAAATTGTATTCAAATTCTAACAGAAAAGCAAAACATAATTATCTATAATTGCATTCTGTTTTACTACAAGAGGAGATTGTAACATATTAGAAGTGAAATACAATTGCCATCATCATTAAAAATTGTCTGATGGCACTAAAATCCAATCACCAATCAATGGTGCCAATATTTCGAAACATAGTAGTATAATGTTTATGTATAATGTAGCCAGTAATTATTAATGATTAAATTGGAAACCCCCCTGCAAAGTTTTATATAGTACAAAGTGCGAGTACATTATCAGTTTAAATCTAATAAGATGACAGGTAGGCATTGCAACATTGGGGCTTCGCTTATTGTTTAGGTCAGATAATAGAAGGCTACTTTCCAATCCAACAGAGCAGGTACAGCCACACTGGGCAACAGAGATTAGGAGTGACAAATTTTGGAATTAGAAGCACACCAAGCAGCAAAAAGTTAGGGATAGCAAAATTTATAAAATTTATTAGAGGTTTGAGCAGCAGAATTCAGGCATACCAAAATATTTAGAATTTAGGGAAGCACTGGGCAACAGAATTTAGAAACTGTAGAGAAAGCAGCAGGCAGCAGAATGTATATATCAGCTATGCCTCCCTTCCCTCCAAACCACTCAAGGGCCCAATGTGTGATCCTGACGAACATCAATGCAACACCAATCAGTATGTTATTGGCTAGGGTGAGACTTCCTAGCCATACTTGTGCAAGCCCAGTAGGTGTTTGAAAGTGACATGAAGGTATCTCGGTCAGAAGATAAGTCACATTTACAGCACATCTGCTTCCTTTTGTTGAGTATTATATTCTTCATTACCAGATTTTCATATGGTGTGGGATTTTTATTATCATTATTTTATTTCATTTATTTATTTAATCTAGCTGGCAATCCAGAGGTCTGCATATTAGATCATTTCAGATACAAGGACATCCAGATTTTGGACTTTGTACAATATTTTCTAAAACTCTGCATTATTATACGAGATTAATACATTAATAAATAGAGATAAAATACGAACTTCCTATTTTACAATAATACTGGAAAAATGTATCTAAAGAAGATAGGATTGTAATGGAATTTTTTACTAGGGCAAAATGATAGACTTTCTATCTAGCTATTATTTTCGTTCTGAGAAAGAAAGGGATGAAACATCAGAGTTTTATACAACTCTTTTCCCACCATCAATCTTTTAAAAGAACTTTTAGCTTTATGGATTTTAAATATGCTTATGCGACATAAGAATAGAGTCTCAAATTTCTATGCCTTACACAAAATAAGAAAACAAACAAACAGCATTGAAATCAATCAGTATCTGCAAAGCATTGTACAATCTGTGGAAGCCTGTATTTAAGGAAGAAGATTTATTTCATGTTAGATAATTATAAGAAAATTAGATGAACTAGATATGTTTCAAAAACCATCAGAACACAAAAATAACAGTATTTAAGTAAAACCAAAACCATATTGCCACAATCTGACAAACTTTTACAGATGAAAATGGATAACAACTTAAGTCATCATTCATTTCCAAAAATTTTCTTATTACATACATAATTTACATTCTAATTAGGTATTTACTCCAAAAATTCAATCAATAAATCTACTTACAAGGTGGTTTTTATTTCTCTAGTAGATTGGATAAGGTTTCTGATCAGAAAAATGTAAAAAACAGCAATCTTAAGTTCTTTGAGTAATAAAAAATCATTTGTGCCACTGATCTAGAGCAGAGGTTGCCAACTTCTATATGATTGACTTCTATATGATTGAAACAAATCATTTGTGCCGCTGATCTAGAGCAAAGGTTGCTAACTTCTATATGATAACAATTATTACATAACATACATTTTTGTCTTACACATGTGTTGTGATCTACCTAGCAAAACCTTGATATTTAACAAATTCAGTCTTGTGTTCTAGTAAGTGGCAATGGGGAAAGAAGTATAAAACCAACATGGTATTTTCATAATATTTCTTAACAGAAAAGTAACTACAGAAAAAATACAGATTAATTTTTATTTTATCTTTTGTCATTAATGGGAAGTTTGCATCTGCAAGCCTTCATAACTCAATCCAGACTAAACTTCATATCCAGACAAAGATAATGAATCTTTAGTATGGAAAGCAGCAAACAGGCAATGACATTTAGTCTTCATTAACTTTACATATGAAAATACTTGATAGGATCTATTTAGCTATAAGTATGTAGATCCAAAACAAGAGTAGATATATTCACTACATTTGGTGGTGTTGGGTTACTTTGGTTAATCTTTGGATTATGGTAACTTGGCGATTTATGGCGAAAATTTGGCAACCAACCCTGCTACAGCAATCTTCTACTTTTTTTTCGTCGTCATTTTGTCTTCATGAAGTAAAGACAGGTTTCTTTTTTCTTATTTACTCAACATTTTTTCCAACAATCTGCTAGCCAAAATACGCTTATGCTAGAAATTTTGTGGAAAAAAGTGCTTAATCATGACGAATATTAACTGAAAAATTGGGAGAAAGTGCAGAATCGCAAACTCCTTGCCATGTTTTTCAGAATGGCACATACACAGTAACCATGTACATGGCGACCTATTTTTACTTAAAAAAAATCATCCCAGAATTGCACAAAAATTGCATTGCGCAAACTCTCGACTTAATCCGTGTACACTGCTTTTTTCTCATAAATTAGAAAAATTTGCCCGAAAATGCAGGAAAATTTTGTGAATCTTTAAAGTCGGTAAAAAGGACATATATGAAATTACCTTATCACGAAAAAGTACAGTGTCTCACAAAAGCGATGGGACACTTGTGCTTTACAAAAAGAAACCGTAATAAAATAAATTAAAAAAAACATGTAAAAATTTTTTGTGGGTGTGTTTCATACTTAAATTTAAACTTAAATTTAGTAACAATTATACATAACATACTTTTTCTCAAAATATTAAAATAATAATTTAATAAAAATACAATTGTTTAGAACGGAGCAAAAAAATGGCTCACATAAGTGATGGGACACCATTAGATACTACTACGTACTACAATAAAAATAATTTTTGGAGTTTTTATTTTTACTCAAAAGCAATTAGCAATAATTTATAAAATTGTCTGCAGTCTTTCTCTCCCGTTTGTTTTGGAATTTTTGTGTTTTTTAGCTCTGTGCAGCCATGAATGCTAAACGAAAAGAAACTTTGCCTGAAATTCGAAAATTAGTTATTAATTTGCATATTGAACATGAAAAATCTATTAGAGAAACTGCTGAAACAGTTAACATGAGTCATTCAACAGTTTTCAGTATCATTAAACGATATAAAAAGAATCATATGATTCAGGATAAAAGAAGACCTGGCCGACCATCAAAGCTATCCAATGGAATAAAGCGAATTATTTTTCAAAATATTAAACAAAATCCAAGAATGAATGCTCCTAAAGTTGCTGCTGATTTACAAACATTATATGGAGTAATTGTTAATCCTGAGACTGTTAGAAGAGTAATTCGATCTGCTGGATATCACGGTAGAGCAGCCAGGAAAAAAATTCTTCATAAGTGAAAAGAATAGAAAACTCAGACTGGCTTTCACAAAATCTAACATAAATAAGAACTCTGATTACTAGAATGAAGTTATATTTGCTGATGAGAGTAAATTTAATATATTTGGTTCTGACGGTAGAATCTTGGTGTAGAGAAAACCCAGGAAAGAATTTTGCAAACAGAACTTGGTGCCAATAGTAAAACATGATGGAGGAGGAGTTATGGTATGGGGGTGTATGTTGTCCCCTGGAGTTGGTAATTTTGTTTTTATTGGCATCAGTACAAGTATATTGACATTTTAAATCAAAATTTGAAATCTTCAGCACGAAAATTGACCCTTCATAACGATTTTAAATTCTACCAGGACAATGACCCCAAGCACACTGCTTTGAACGTTAGACTCTAACTGCTGTATAACTGTCCTGAAATAATAAAAACAGCCCCACAATCTCCAGACTTAAATCCCATAGAGAATATTTGGCAAGAATTGGAATCAAGAATTCGCAAACACACCATTTCTTAAAAACAACAATTAAAATCATTGCTTCAAGAAGAATGGGGTAAAATCACTCCAGAAATCACAAAAAAATTAGTCGAATCCATCCCAATAACATCAAATCACGTTTTAAAAGTAAAAGGAAATCCAACAAAATATTAAAACATTTTTAGAAGTAAAATTTTTGGATAAATATTTGATGGAAAAGTAAGTGTCCCATCACTTATGTGAGCTATTTTTTGCTCCGTTCTAAACAATTGTATTTTTATTAAATTACTATTTTAATATTTTGAGAAAATGTATGTTATGTAATAATTGTTACTAAATTTAAGTATGAAACACACCCACAAAAATTTTTACATGTTTTTTTAATTTATTTTACTACAGTTTCCTTTCGTAAAGCACAAGTGTCCCATCACTTTTGTGAGACACTGTATATACATTTCCAAGCATGAACATTTGCACTTTACAGACTATCACTACATCTTTGTCTTTATCGTAACTTGTTATTTACACAAATGCAACAATTTTACTGCCAAGGTATACCACAATTGTTTGTAATTAATCATTCATCGTATAAAATAAATAAAATATCCAAAAACTTTTCCCTCTAAATTATCTATTATAAACATCACCTGCGAATTTATAACGCAAACATTAAAAATGGTTGCAAATACTTAGTGTCAAATATTTAAATTATTGCCATGCATGTTTACTCCTACTGAAACATATTCCAAAATGCTACAAACATATAATTTACAAAATAAATATCATTTAATTAAAATATAATTAAATTAAAAAACACTACTTAAAATAGAAATAAACACATACATTAAATTAATAAAAATTAGATTACAATCCTAATTAGGTACTTTAAACTAATTCATTGCTAATAACAATTTTTTAATAATAGCATATTAATTTATTTATTCCTTATATTTAGAACAATGCATAAAAATACTATCCTCAAATGATTAAAAATACTAACTTAACCTAATCTTCTTCAGAATCTCAATCGTATTCTTATGTGCGCCTGTTTCAGGATCTTCAAAATGATACTTATGGTTAACAGCAAGATGCTGAAAACCTTCATCCTCCAAACAGACATATGACTTCCAGCAATCAGATATTATTATTGTACCCGGTAGAATATACTGCTTAATAAAACTTAAAAAGCAATCTTTACTTCTATCTCACACAACCTTAAAAAAACATTCATTACTACCCTTCAATCCCACTAAATACCCATTTCGAATTCACTTTACATAGGGCCATGGGATCCAAAAATTAATCAACGCTGTTTTACACAACACATAATGAAGCTAAATACAAAATGCTATAAAGTACTACAGATATTTTTCCAGATTTCCCCCCCTTTTCCGAAAAAAGAACTGTGATTCGTCCATACATGTCACATGACATATCTCATGATCTCTCATTTCTCTCAGACAACATAATCCATAATAGGAACTGGATACTTCTCACATTATTGCCAAAGTCCTAGGTAGTAACCTTTATCGCCTACCAAAATGTCGCCAAATTGCCTGTTACCATATTCCAAAGATTAGCCGTTACTTTTCCTGATTAACATATTTCAAAAAATCTTCCCAAATTTCTATAGCTTTTAAGGTTAGATCAGTTTGTAGAGTTATAATCTCATTTTCTAATATGTCTTTCATTCTTAAATATAACTTTTTGGCAGCTATCTTCTACACTTAAATCCTCTTTGAAAGGCAGACATTGTACAATAATTTATTTTCTGAAAATCGTGTACGAAATTTATGTCAAAAGCAGTATGAAACTATGTCAAAAAGCAGTATGACTTATGAAAAAGCAGTATGAACGCTGAAAAAGCAGTTGCGAAATTTACAAAAGTATTATAAAAAAAGAGGTTTTATTTATAATACTTTTGTAAATTCCACAACATATTTTTCAATGTTATAATTACAATTTTAATATTTCTGAAAATGATCAGGCATATTTGGAAAAAAATTATTCAAATTGTTTTGTTGAAGAGCTTTCACATCAGCATAATAAATTTTATTTTGGGCTGATCTTTGGAATATGGTAACTGGCAGTTTGGCGACATTTTGGAGGCAATAGAGGTTACTACCTAGGACTTTGGTAATAACGTGAGCAGCACTCAGTTCCGATTATGTATTATTTTGTGTGAGGGAAATGAGAGATCATGAGATATGTCATGCGACATTAATGGACAAATTACAGTTGTTTAATCGGAAAAGGGGGGAAATCTAGAAATTTCGGATTTAGCTATATTCTGTGTTGTGTGAAATGTGACATTAATGGACGAATTACAGTTCTTTAATCGGAAAAGGGGGTTAATTTGGAAAAGCTTCATTGTGTGTTGTGTGAAAGAGTTTTGATTAATTTTCGGATTGCATGGCGCTATGTAAAGTGAATTCTAAATTTTTAATGCTTTTATCTGATAATAATAAGTTGAGATTGTGTGAAAGGAAAGATATTACAGTTAAGTTTAAATGGCGGTGCAAGAAATATGGTGAAAATGGACATTTTGTGAAAAGGAGTGTAAGGAAGGATATGTGGTTTGCTGAAAGTAGTTTGAGTATAGGTGAAATTTTATTAATTTCTTATTACTTGGTGAATAGACTTCCAGTTGACTACTGGATTTAGGATTTAGAAATTAGCAGTAGTACTGCAGCCACGTAATGAAGATTAGGTAAGTTAGTATTTTTAATCATTTGAGGATATTATTTTTATGCATTGTTCTAAATGTAAGGAGTAAATAAATTAATGTGGTATTATTGGAAAATTGTTATTAGCAATGATTTAGTTTAAAGTAATTAGGATTGTAATCTAATTTTTATTAATTTAATGTATGTGCTTATTTATATTTTAAGTACTGTTTTTTTAATTTAATTATATTTTAATTTAATGATCGTGATTTTGTGAGTTAAATATTTGTAGTATTTTGGAATACGTTTGAGTAGTATACGTTGAGTATTTTCATGCATTTTCGTGAAATTTTTCTAATTTATGAGAAAAAAGCAGTGTACATGGATGTAGTGAAGAGTGTGCGCAATGCCATTTTTGTGCAATTCTGGGATGTTTTTTTAAGTAAAAATAAGTCGACGTGTACATGGTTTAGTGATATTTTAATTAAATGATAGTTATTTTGTGAATTTTATGTCTGTAGGAATTTGGTATACGTTTCAGTTGAAGTAAACGTGTATGGAAATAATTTAAATATTTGGCACTAAGTATTTGTAACTATTTTTAATGTTTGCGTATAAATTCGTTAGTGACGTTTATAATATAATAGATAATTTAGAGGTAAAAGCTTTTGGATATTTTATTTATTTTATATGTGGAAATGTTCATCCTTGGAAAGGGTATGTACTTTTTCGCGATCAGGTAATTTCATATATGTGCTTTTTATTGAGTTTAAAGATTAAGACAATTTTCCTGCATTTTCGTGCAAATTTTTGTAATTTATGAGAAAATAGCAGTGTAGATGGATAAAGTTAAGAGTGTGTGCAATGCCATTTTTGTGCAATTCTGGGATGTTTTTTTTAAGTAAAAATAAGTCGACGTGTAAATGGTTTATGTGCATGTGCTATTCTGAAAAACGCGCAAGGAGTTTGCGATTCTGCACTTTTTCCCAATTTTGCAGTTAATATTTGTCATGATTAAGCAGTTTTGTTACATAAAATTTCTAGCATCAGTGTAATTCGGCTAGTAGATTGTTGGAAAAGTGTTGAGTAAATAAAAAGAAAAGAAACATGTCTTTGCAGCGAAAAAAAAAAATAGAGGGTTGCTGTAGCAGAGTTGGTCCGCAAATTTTCGCCAAAAAATCGCCATGTTACCATAATCCAAAGATCAACCTTATTTTGTATGCATTAATGTTACTGATCATTCCAATTACTGCGTTGTTTCATTCTTGAAATTTTAAATTTAAATCACTTAATACTGATGCAAAATTTATACAAAACACTCAATCAACAAGCCAAGTTTTATCATTTAAATTTACAAATTTTTGACCTAGCTCGTTGAGAAATATTTTTATTTAAGATGAAATCATTACATAAATTTATTTTAGCCACCTTACATTGGTAAGTAAAAATAATTTTGGCTCCCCTTAATCAAATTGCAACTGTAAGAGATGCCATATGAGGGATTTTCCTTGAATGGTGCTCCAAATTTATCCCCAAATCCCTCTACTACTGGGAAATTTTCTATATAAAGAATTAATAAAAGTAAGAAAAATATTATACATAAGTTCTATAATTTCATTGTCCCCTTCCTGTATGGCAAACCAAGAAACTCTATAATAAAGGTTTTATTTATAATACTGTTGCAAGCAATATTTAACTACACAACTTACCTTCCCCGTAAAGTACTGCAACAAGTGCATTTGTATCAGCTGCAAAGTTTTGAAAGGCTATTTTTAACTGATGAGCAGTTTCCATATTCACACAATTTTTCTTTAGGGGGCGGTTGATTCCAATTAAATGCAAATGTTGTCTTTTGGTGACATTGACAAAGCCTGTTAAAAAAACACCAAGTAAGAGAAATACATATTTTTATGATAAGTAAATAAAATTAACAGAATCGAACCTGATTTATAATCCGAAGAAACAAACGGTGACAAGTGTTAAATAATTTAACATGACTACGACCAAGAATTATATACGAAACGATGCAAGTCGCCATAATTACTAAGTTGAGTAAGCAATACAGCTGGAGCAAACCGCATGTATTCGTTACTGAGTAACGGGTACATCGGTTGACTCGAAGTACCGATTCGGTACTCACAAATTCATTTCGTTACTCGCATCTCTTCGTTACTCGCATCTGTCATACGATGCGGTTTGTTCGATTACGAATGATGCGGTTTCTATGCGAATACGAATGATGCGGTTGCTGTTCGAATACGAATGATACGGTTGCGTCACAATGCGCTCATATATTTCATAGATAATTTTGAATTTTTTTGGGCATCGGGCAAACTCTTGTTTACATTATGTGTTTTAGTTGAAATACTATTTAGTTGTTGATATTTAAGAAAATGAGCAATTTTGATAGCGTGAAGCGTTATTTTGTATTTGCTTTTTACTATTGCTATTTATGTTTGTAATTTGAAAATTTAGATGATTCATCTTTTTTTTTTTTTTTTTTCCTTGAGCGTGCCATAGTCAGATTTTATTGATTTTAAATATTTATATACTGCACTTAGGTATTGTTTATATAAGAATATGTAGGTTAATATAGGTTCTTTACTTCCTTGTATCCAATAAAATCGCAGTAATTATTGTAATCGAGAAAACTTTTGGGTATCATATTTTAACAGAAATATCTGTTTTTGACGATTACGGAATCCATGTGAATTATTTTTTGGGCTGATGCCTGTACGTACGAACACAATGAAAAACTCTCTTTCTCTCTCTCTCTCTTTTTTTTTTCAAAAACTTATTGTTAAATGTAATCCCATTTACTCTAAGCTGATACTTATGACTAATGATTATGAGCCTAAGTTGATACTTGAAAGGGATTTTTTTCGTGATGTATAAGTACGTATGTATGTATGTTGCATAACTCAAAAACGGTTAGTTATAGAACGTTGAAATTTTGTATATGGGTCCGTTATAACATCTAGATGTGCACCTCCCTTTTTATTGCAATCGGTAATACTACCAAACGTAAATATGTATATATATATCAAATAAATTATAATTAAATGTAAAGTACATATATATATGTCCTTATAATTAAATGTAAAGTACACACACATATATATATAAATATAAAATAAAAGCCAAGTAAGGCGAAAATAAAAGCCTTGGCTTTTATTTTATTTAATTATCATTAATAAGTTACTTGACTTTTATTTTCGCAATCATTGGTTGTAGTCAGGACTTAATTTTTAAAATTAGAAGTGCTGGAGCTCTATGGAAGGCCATCAGGAAAGATGAATAAATAAGTAAATAAAAATAAAATAACTATTACAATAATAAAATAATTAGCAACTAGAATATTAAATGATTATTATTATAATTCAATAAAAATTTAAAGACCGAAACGTAATGTAATTAATTCTTAAATTAATGATGAATAACTAAGTAATGAAATAAAATACCAGACATCGTCTTGTTTGGGGGCTGTAGCTAAAATTACAATTTAAGAACTAAGCCGAGCATTAGATAAATTTAGGCTTTTGATGAGCAAATACTGTTTACCAGAGTATAGATAGAAATTTGGTTATGTAGCCCATTCTTCTAAAACGACGTTTCGTAGCTACCTTCCACCACCAATTCCTTTTTTTTTTTTTTTTCCAGTTTCGGTTTATTCGGTTACAGCAAAGCACACTAGGCTATTGCCTACGGGGAGGGAGGCCTTCGTGTAGGATTTTTTAAAGGGAACTGACTCATATGCAAGTTACACACGGGAATAACAATGAAAACGCCCGGGCAGCTAGCCGTTAGCCAGGAATTGAACCCCGGACTGAACTATTAGTGCTCAGCAACTTTACCGCTCGAGCTCTGGTGGGCTCTTTTTTTTCATTCGCTGTTTGAAAAACGGGTGTTCACTTTACGATAAAGTAAGCACCCGTTTACTTCAATTAAAATGGGTTAGACGATATGACTCTTCCTACTTTATAATCTCACTTAGCTTTTGATTTCTAATATTGATTCAATGTTTTCTGTAGACAAAGTATTCTGATTAGAATAATAGATTTCAAACATTTTCAAAAGTTGTGTATCTGAATATAGTTAGGTTTTATAACATAGGGCACATTTTATTAGTTTCACATAGTTCTAAAGCAACTGAACCACAGCATCGCTGTTTTGAAAGAAAGTAAAAATGTGAGAAATGTATAATGAACATTAATATACAGGCTTTATTAAAAGTAGTCAGCTTTTAAAACGTGACCGTCTATGCTTTTAGAGGATTTTTGGAGCTCTGTGCATTTGCTCTGGCATCTTAAAAAAATGATGTTCAATATCAACGTATGTTTATGTTCTCAAAAATACAGGTTTCTTTCAGAAAGCGACCTCTTAGAAGTCGTCAATAAATGATTCAGTATAGTTATTTTCTAACAGACTATAGAACAAATTTATTTTAACATCAATTTAAAAATGGCTGCTTGTACTAACAGTTAAGAGCAATAAGACTCTAATTTTTCTTTCGCAATTAGCTATCATGCCAGCTGAATTGTTTTCTGCATAACCTTTATTGTGTATAATTGAAATCTTTAGCTATGCATTCAACAAATATACAACAAATGTAAGACAAATCATTAAAAAAATTAAAATTTGGAACATTAATGATAATTTTTTGTTATACATAAAATATTATTAATGAATGATGAATTTATATCATATTATATATAAATCAAAATTTAAACTCCTGTTCCTTTATAATAAATTGAAGAAAAGCTATAAAGTGAATTAATTTTTACGAAAATTTAAAACGAAAATTTAAAAAAAAAATATTTTTCATATACCTAGAATCTAAAAATGACGAATACTGAATTTTACGACTCATGTGTGTATGGGTGTATTTAATTATGGCAAGGTACACTATGGCTATCTGCCTAAGGGGGGATGCCTTCGTGGAGGACTTTCTAAGGGAAACTGGCTCGTATACACGTTACACATCAAGAAAACCACGAAAACACCCATGTAGCCGGACCGTTCGCGCAATTCGAACCTCGGACCGAACTACCAGTGTTCAGCGACTTTACCGCTCGGCCGCTGGTGGGCCGTTTTACGGCTCATATAATAATAAATGCATATTCATATTGTAACAGAAATTTTGTTAGAAGTCTAGCATATGTATAGTGATTTGTGATCTTTTAAAACTGTCGTAACATGATGCATATTTATCATTATCGTGAACCAAAACAGTATGCTTTACATCCTTACAAATATACGTGATAGATTTTAATATTTATTTCTGCATATACTTACGTTTCCCAAAGACACGAAAGCAAGTCAAGCAGATTTTTGTTGTATTAAGCAGACTTAAGTTTTCTGTTAGCTAGTGTAACATAATTTCGGATGTTAGTATAACATAATTTCGGATTCTATGAGCCTTCCAGAATTATTAGCAAAATAGTGGTCTTTACAAAGTGTTTTTATAAGCAAACAGCAGATGTACACTGAGCAGTGATCAACTGATATACTTCTTAAATAATTTGGTTTAGTTGATTATGACAAAACACACTGGGGCTATGTGCCTAAAAGCAAAAATGCCTTCGTAGAGCACTTTCTTAGCAAAACTGGCTCGTATGGTACGTGGTAAGCTGGCTTGTAAGCTGGTACGGGAAAAAAACCACGAAACGCTTATGAAGCCAACCCGTTTGCTTGAGATCGAACCCAGGTCGGAACTACCAGTGTTCAGCGATTTTACCGCTCGACCGCTGGTGGGCCATTTCTTAAGTGAATAAAGGTATACTCATAGCATTATGAAATAACACTGATTGAAATATTTACTGCTTCACTATTATCTCTAATAAAGTAACATAAAACTTTCCTTACCTTTTATAGATTTCTAAATTTCTTTTAAGTTCTTATTCGTACTTAACCTATACATTTGCGAATGTTTTCATCGATTTTATTGTTAAGTGTAAAAAGCAAGTTGATATTTATAATATAGCATTCCTTGTCTCAACAAATAACAGTCTCAACAAGGAGTTTTTGGAGAGAGGATGAATCGGGGAAATTTCACCTTTTCGTCATTAGCGGTTCTGATGAAGGGAATGGGGGAAGCAGCAAACGAAATAACGAATAACGGACAAATAACGCAGGCTAATCTTTAATGCGGTCTCCCAGTTTCTGTATTTGTATTTGGGAAAGTTTTATGGTCTTTATGAAAAAGTGAAAATTTGATATGTATTCCGCGTGACTTTCTTCTATGACTATTTAAATTATACTTATTTTTGCTGCACTTCATTTAAACTTATTTCCTCGAATTATTCTAACTTAATTAAGCGATACCCGAAGGCAAGTTACAAATGGCATCAAACATTGCAAATTTTGAAACTAAATTTCCCGGCCAATCTTTGTCCTACGGGACTCAAACTTCTTGTATTTTTATTTTTTCATAACGAGTATAAAACTTCGCCAGATATAAATATAGAAACCAGAAGACGACATTAAAAGTTAGATTTCATAATTTGTCCAAAATTAATTCTTTTTAAAATCTGACATTGACAAAATATGGATATTTTCGTCATTTAAAATATTTCTGTATTTTTGTTGCACCGTATTTAAACTTGCTTCCTCGAGTTATTGACATTAAATTACATTAATTCCATTATCTATCGGAAAATAATTATTGCAAATCATCTATTTACGACATCTCTAAGAGGTCACCTTTTATGACATCTCTATTTTTGGGAACATAAACAAACATTGGTAATGAACATCATCTTTTTAAGACCACCACATGTAAAATCCTCTAAGAGCATGAATGGTTGCATTTAATGAGGACCCATTACTTTTAATAAGGAATGTAACATTAATCTTAATTATACATGTTTTTGATGTGTGTGCCAAAATAGTGATAACGTACTTCTGTTGCTTTAGAAATGTGTGATATTAAAAAAATGCATACTATACAAACAAAAATGTTATTATATTCAGATACGCATACCTTTTGAAGACACGTCTGAAATTCATTATTCTGCTCAACATAATTTGTTCTGCATAAAATATTAAATAATATTAAAAAAAATCAAAAGCTAAGTCGAAGTAGAAACAGTCATCTT